TCTTGAAAGGTCTAGCAAAAGGTAAACATTATCTGAAATCTTCTCTATAATTTTACATTTAATAAACTTAGGTACAAGCTTTGCCGAAAAATATACTGGAGCGCTAGAACTGAATAAAACTTCTTATCCAAACAATATCACCAACATCAAAAGAAATAGAAATAGTAACAAATAATATTAACAATTTTAATATATAATAGCAATAAATAATATTAATAATTTTAATATAAAGCAATGCGCTTTTAACAAATGTGACTCAACTCTAACAAAAAATATCACTAAGTGATCCAAAAGAAAGGGCACAAAAATCCCTTTAACAAACTCAAGTTGGTCTAAACTAACAAAGAATTACCAAAATGGTGCAGAGAAGCATCAACAAATTAACTCTCAACCAAACATAAGAAAATTAAGTGTAAAACCAATAACCAAATTTACACTTCCAATAAAAGCTAACTAAATGTGAGGTCAAAATTTAAAGCAAGAACAAACTAACAAAATCCAATCTTTAACAAAACATGAAATACAAGTCCCTACCGTCCTACTGTACCTCTCCACAGGGTTACTCTGAGGTGTGTACAATGTGTTATAAAAAATTTAGTAATGTTGTAACCTCTCATGAAATCTACAAAATGTTTAGAAGTGAATTGAGTACCATTATCACAAACTATTAATTTAGGACACCCAACTTTAAGAAATATCTCTTTTTCAAGGATTCTACAAATGGATACGGTGGTAGCTTTTACTAATGGAATAACCCAGCAAAATTTTGTGAAGCCATCTACAACTGAAAGAATATATTTATGTGAGGTGCTGTGCTTATAGGCTTTACATGTGTCACAAGATCTAATGTAATTTTGAACATCATTAAACATACCGTTCCAAACATAATGCTGTTTCAATTCCCTAGCGGTTCCATGAATCCCAAGATGACCAGAATTAATATCATCATGGTTAGACTTAATAGTATCAAGAATATGTTCCTAGGAATAACAATTTTCCAATTTAATCTACTATCCAGATTTAATTTATTCTTACAAACTTTATACAATGTGTGGTCATCAACCCTGAAATTTTTATATCTAGAAGAGACTCACTAGGCTTTTGTTTGCGAATGCGCAGTTAATGCTCCTAACAGCTATCACAGTCCGTGCCATCAAAACGTCTAAGCAAGGCAGCCCTAAGCTCAACCCACGAAGAGATCTTCATACGAATAGTCCTAAACCACTTGGCAGCAGTACCAGCAAGCAGATCAGCGAACGAACCAATCAACACGGCCTCATGAAAGTTCCTGAATACAAAGTAATCCTCAACACGAGTGATAAATTCTCTAACACAGGTCTTACCGTCAAAGATTATCTTGCTCCTAATCAAATCAGGCAGCTTCGTAGTATAGGCAGGCATATTTCTCCTAACGTGTTCATTCAGGCTGTTGAACGAAGGCAGACTTGGTGCAAGAGCAGGAGTATCACGAACCTATGACAAATCTAATGGGACGCTCATCTCCGCTGACTCATCCGCAGCTGTGCCAACATCCACATTGGCAGGCGACGTTGAAGGTGGAGCCTCCTTGTCCATATTACAAACCGACATTAACCACACAATTCCAAAACAGCCGTTCAAAGGTTAAGATCTTTAAAGTTAATTAAGTTTAAATATTCAAAAGTCACTGTTGTGAAAACCTAAGTTTAAATTATTTAAAAGTTAAATCTTATGAAAGGATAAGTTTAAATTTATTTAAGAGTTAAATGTTGTAAACAACCAGGTTCAAATTATTTAAAAGTTGGATATTGTAAAGAAAAGTCTAAATTGATTTGAAAGTGAAGTGAAAAAAAGCTAAGTTTTAATTTAAATATCTAAGTTCTGTATTAAAAAGGATTTAAGGATTGCAGTAACCACTAACAATTGTTCTAGTAACTAAATAATAACAGCAAGGCTAAGCTAAGTTAAGTTAATCTTAATTTACAATAAGTTATATTATAATAATTCCAAAGCGGAGGTATCTATAAAATGTTTTCTGAGCAGACTTACAATTAACATTCAAAGCTATTAAATTGTAACACAAAATGTTTCAGTAACTATACCCTTAATTGAGAATACAATAGGCAGCAGTATAACTTAAATTATTGTTGTTTGTTAAAGCAGAAATAACATTGTAAAGGAAAGTCACAATGTTGTAAACTATTATTGAAAAATTGTAAAAATAACCTCACTTAATGATAATACAATTATAAAATACACAAGGTATGTAAGAAAAATATAGGATGCAGTAAAGACAGCATCTAATCAGTTATCTAATTAACCTACAGACACTACTTCAGTCCCTGAGCGCTGGCGACAATTGTAATAATAAAAAATAAAAAAATTTAAATTATGTTGTGGGGTGTGTTTTAAAGGAAATAAAAAACTAAATTGGTGGCATCAAATAGAAACAAAATAACAAAATAAAAGTCTCGGGCGCCAGATACCACCTTAAAAGAACACAGAACCCACCACAAACACAACAAATACCTCGGACATCTCAGCCAGCTTTGAACCTTTTTAAAACAAGGCGGGAGGCAGCTAATGAATACAAGATGTTAAGTTCTAATGGCTGTTTATTATCCCGTAGTGTCTGTAGAGTACAATGTGTCTTATGTCTCTAATTACAATAGGTAATTTCTATACACAAATTAGTACTGTCATTAATGCAATCCTTTCCAATAAGAAAAATATAATGTTAAATAAATTTTAAAGAGTCACATGAAGACCCAAAAAGAAAAGAGTATAAGGGTAGTTGTAGCAACGCCCTACTCCCTTAATTAAAATTAACCCCTTTGGGGACCTGTAGAGGTTTTTAAACAAAGTCGCATAAAGACTTAATAGACTAAACAATAAACTCTAAGGGTAGACATAGCATTGACCTACTCTCTAATAAAAATAACACCCCTTAGGGACCTGCAGTATTCAATGCCACGTCGCCAAGAAAAATATAACAAAAACACATACCGATGACCTTGGATCAGTCCGAACGAAATGAAATCAAACCAACTCCGAAACTTCTCACTCCGGTTCCCACGTGGTGTAAGAGGCGGGTTAGCACTCCCCGGCTCCAGACAATGGCGTGCAGCTAAGCAGCTTTTTCTAACAGTCCGGTGCTCCACAGCAATCTAATTCCTTGGGGTCAAACTCCGGCGAGAGACAAAAATCCGAACGCCACGCAAGGACATTCCAATAAGAAAGTAAAATAATTTAGGTAATGTAAAGACTGTAGATATAAACTAAAAAAAGAAACCCTGATTCATCAGGGTTCCAAAACGTTTCACAAATCAAGCAGCGGCATTATAAGCATTATAAGCATTGCCTTTTCAGCAAAAATAATCACTCGAACCAATAGCTCGAGTCCTAACTAGGTTGACCAAACATTTAAAGAGGAAATAGGCCCTCGTCCATATCAAATAAATAAAGATTAATAAAAAATTACATGACAAATCTAGCTTCCTTCATTTCACTCGGCGGCCGGTCCAAAAGTGAAAGTCAAAGTGATACCAGTGCAATAGCCTCTCGCTCTATAGAGCGGGGAAACAAAAATGTTGCCAGGACAAGAAAAACCAAATCGACTAACTAATCGCGGGCGAACAACATCGGTTATTACTCTCGTCCGTCCCTCGACCATCGGCACACGCAGAAACGACAAAAAATTCAACCTAACAAAACAAAAACGAGACTAAGGTTCAAATTACTGTAATGGCGCGAAATGCACCGTTACAATGGATAAACATATTTTATTTAGTAAAACATTGAGGATTTTTATCTATTATTAAGTATTTATATCATTCATCATATATAATATATATCATTTATATCATAATATTATTAACATCTATATATCATATTATTTAAAATCTAGATATAAAGATACAACAGTCATTAAGTGATAAAAATTAATTATGGTTTAATTGTATAATGGGCATTTAAACTACATATATTCCGTGGGTGTCATAAGAGGCGACTAAGGGAGCAAACTACGCAAAACAACAGCACAAAGAGAAGGAAAACTTGGCACTAACCCTATACCAACCCGTCTGGCCATGGTCTAGTAGGCCAAAACCTCCTTTCTAAGGAGAGGCCTATGTCCAGCAGTGGACTATTAAAGGCTGTTGATATGATGTGATGTGATTAATGATGTATATTATATATCATGAATGATATAAATACTTAATAATAGATAAAAATCCTCAAAGTTTTACTTATATAAAATATGTTTCTCTATGTATTTCATGGAATCTATTCTACATGTAGAATTAATGCAGGCATTCCATTAAGTGTATTATATCTTCTGACTTTCAAAATAACAAAAATATAAAAATCGAAACAAAGTAACAAATTGTACTACTTAAACTAATTAATGATTTAATTAATTGTAGTGAATGTTTCCTGTATTTAATTTGACCTTGAGTGAAAAGTAACTAAAAATGTAATTAAACAGGTCCGAGTCACTCAATAGATAACATATAAAATCAATAAATTTAAAAAGAAAATAGTTATAAATAATTTAAATACACAATTTAGGTACACACTCCACATGTCCTTGCAACACAAACAAATGATGTGACCCAGGTGTTATTAAATACATTGTCATTAAAATTACATACCCATGTCTTTTTTGTTTTTATTCACTAAGGATATATAAGTCATCATTCACTATCAATTTTCTATTTACTTCAAACATTTTTCTATTCACTTCAAAAAGAACATTGTTCTTCCTATTTAGCTAGCCCCCCTTGCTCCTCCCCCCATTAATGAAATAAGTATAGATTTTAAGAGCGGCACTAACAGGACCGTCATCCCTGTTTCGCATACTATTATCCCTATATCGTGCTACGGATGTCACCTATAACAGTAGCTGTACAGGTACAATTTATTGACCGATATCACAAGTGACGCTAGCCAATCAGTGAATACGAGTGAGACAGGCGCAACAAAAATACCACGCAGTTGAAAGTATCAAACTATTTACTTACAATCTCCCTCAAAACTCTCCACAAGAGTTGTTATCACTTCCTTCGATACAAAAGGGCTAAACATATTAACCAGACTGTCAATAACACTATTATAGTCACTGTCTTCATCTCTCTGAGGCTCCATTTCATATAGGGAATCAAAAACTAAATACTTATGAAATAAACTACACAAAAGCAAATACAAGGATAACAGTTTACATGATTATTTTAGTAAAAGTTATTAGTTATTTTAACAATACATCCTTTATAACCAACTCCTCTCACTATACACACCACACGGAATACCACAGTTAACCACAGAATAACAATGGTTTATGGTAGGGATAGAATTAAATCACAATCACACGCAATAAATAAACCACTGCTACATAATTATTATGATTACGCTAGCGCAAAACTCGCGAAAGGACTAATCCAAAAAAAAGTTCGTAATCTTTGAATAAAAGAATTTTGATTGATTTTTATGCCATTTATCTTTGTCTTTGATAAAATCACAATCACATGAGAAATCGCTGTGAGTAAAGTCAATCATTTCATCAAATGAATATGATTGAAAAGTAGCAAATTTCCCATGTCTAGTTTATGGTTATGAAACTGTACTGGTTAGGGATGCAATGATAATAATTCGATATTTATACATAAATCAATTTCGCCAAACACTGTGACTAAAAAAAAACTCAAGGTATAGTAACAAAATCAGAATAAATAAAATCAAAAGTAATCGATTAAAGCTCTTAAGTATTAAATATGTGGTGGGTGTGGTGATAGAGCCACGGAACGTCATTACATTGTTGAAACATGGCAAGAGATGCAAAGTTTATATCCTTATTTCTTTAAAGACGCTATTTCACCACACTTGTATAATTTTGCATACCTTACACTTGAAACATATAATTTTATATCACCATTGTAACAGTGTTTTCTGCAAAAGTAAATAATTTGACGTTTTGTGTCATCTACTAATTGTGCAACAAGCGTGCCTCCTGAACATCTTTTTTCAATGACAAGAGTCCCTATAACTAAGAATTAAACATTATCAAATAAACTACCTAATAAAATAATATAATCGACATCTCGAGGTACAAGACCACCAATCGATACAAAACAAAAGCGACTTTTTATTAAAATTGCATCCCTAGTTCTAGTACTGCATCTGCCAAGCAGTGTTGCCAACTGTTAAATGAACACTCCGCCAGATTCAACATCTAAAACCACCAAAACATCACTAACGAAAAATGACCCTACTCTAATAGGCACTAAATTTTCCACTAAACATTACACATTTTTTTTTAAATTACGAAAGAAAACCATGAGTATATTAATAACTAGTTTCCTTTATTAAAAATTGATACTGATCGTTTTTGTCAGCATCATTTTTAATACGATTCTTTGGTACCGATTTGTTTTACAACGTTTATTGGCATTTCATATTTGTCGCAACATTCTCCTTCGAACTTCAAACCACAGCATATTCTTAACATAGCAGATAAACTATTTAACTTTATTATATTTTACTGTTAATACCTATAGTCTCTCAACTCAACATCGCCATTGAAATGATTAAGTATTAAAAGAGTAACACCAGAGGTCGCTAATTCCTCAAATGTCGAAGTCCCTGGCCCCTTGGGCATCTTTGAAGAGCAAAACCTCTAGTATGTGGAAGTTCTAGTTTATAGCCTTTCTTTAGTAGGAAAAAAATAATCAGTATTTTTTGGTAGATTCCAGAACTGAGCAGATTTTATTTAGTTAAAATTTTCGTTTGTCTATGGACGCGAGAATTCCCTGTTTTGTATTTTGAAATTCACACTTCACATCATAACTAAAACAGGATAGCCTATACAGGTTTTCGGGAAGTGTGGTAGAGACAGACTATAGCAAGCAAAGAGTTCATTCATGATTCATGAACAATTGCAATCTCCACAACGTTTGTGTACGATTGATGTGGAAGGTGAATCAACACAAGATCTATAGCATTTTCCTAATAGATGTCTTTTTACAATGAAATAAGTAGTCAACTGATGCGTAGATTGTCCATTCAAAACACGTTATTTCAACAACTTTAGTTTCTCGATCCTCAAAAGGCTGTATTGGGCAAAAACCAAACCGTAATACACGTTGTTCAAAGATTTCCGAATTAAGTTCGTGTTGACAAAAAAAAAAAATATGACAACGAATATCGAGAATTAAAGTTAGATAAGGCAGTGTCTGATCTGCTATCATGTTTTAGTTCAACCACTCCAACATTCAACGTTGACACGTTTTGGAGTAAACTTAGCAATCGATGGCGATCTTGAAAATAAATTGAAATATGAAAATCTGTCAAAATTTGTAAAATAGTTACTGTGCCTTCCAGCTTCAAATGCAAAAGTAGAGAGAATATTTGCCGATATAAACAGAATAAAAATTCGTGATATAAATCGACTTCACAATAGGAATGTAGCCTCAATAAAGCCTGCAAAAGAAGGTTTGCGACATATCGAAAGGGGTTGTGAAAATTTTAAGCCTGATGGAGAGGTCTATGTCCAGCAGTGGACTATTATAGGCTGTTGATGATGATGAATGGACGCGAAGAACATGATGTACAGAAACGTTAATGATGATGATGAAAAGGGATAATTATTAAGAAATTAACAATAATAAAGAAATTATATATGTAATTGATAATTCAGAATCATTAATTGTTTTGTTTGTGCCTTTTTTAAATAAAACTTTTTCATAAAAATATAATTTAACTTTTATTTATTAAATGACAACTGTTACAACAGAGTAAGTCTTTTGGTAGATCACCTTTTCTGTTCATTCGATTTTTACAAGGTTGCACAATAAATGGCCAAAAAACTGGTCACAAAATCACTGCATAAAAATGTTGGTGTCACACAAGTATTCTTCTGCAGTGTTGCCAACCTAGTGAATTTTCCACTAAAATTGATGGTTTCGACCCGCCTAATATTTGCGAAATTTTGCTTTTAGTGGCCAGTGGATTTTTTAGTGGTTTAGTAGTAGTAGAAAATATTGTTGGAAGATGAACTGTGAGAACTGTTTGTGTACGCAGGATGGAGATTGGTTAGTAGTGCTCGGGAACCGGAGGAAGGAAATAGTCTACCCGATCAACAAGCTGCAGTGGCAGTGGGCTGGCCATATTAGCCAAAGAACCGAAAACGAGTTCTTGAGTGGAGACCGCGTCTTTTCAAACGTAGTGTAGGACGACCACCATTTGGGCAAGATGGCTGGCAGGAACTGGATGCAAGAAGCCCAAAATCGATCTAAGTGGCGTGCAATGGAAGAGGCCTATGACCAGCAGTGGACAGGGATAGGCTGATGATGAAATAGTTTATCTGCTATGTTAAGAATACGATGTGGTTTGAAGTTGTAAGAAAAATGTTGCGACAAATATGAAATGCAAATCAACATTGTAAAACAAATCAATTAATTAATCTGGCACCGACGATGATGGTGCTGACAAAAATGATTACTTTGAAATTTTTATAGAGTAAACTAGTTAATTATATACTCATGGTTATCTTTCGTAATTACAAAAAAAAAATGCTAAGAGGAAAATTTTATGCCTATCAGAGTAGGGTTATTTTTCGTTAGTGATTTTCTAGCGGTTTGAGATGTTGAATCTGGTGGAGTGGAGAGTTCATGTAACTGTTGGCAACACTGTTCTTCTGTTACATTATTCTACCAATTACCATTGTTTGTAAATTGTCACTCTGTTGTGTCTAACTGTCGTGGTAATAATGTTAAATGAATATGATAATATTTTTATTGGTTATGGGTTATTGTTTGCTTTGAAAAACATTTTTTTTAAACTCTAATAATATTGTAAGAAGAGTTGACGTAATTTCTGGAAAAAAATGGGTGACAATTATCAAAATAAAACCATGGCTCCGGTAATGATGGATTATGATTTTAAACTGAAAACACAAACAGAACGTTCAAAAGTGGAAGATTTATTTGATTTTGAGGGATGCAAAGTAGGCCGTGGTACTTATGGCCATGTTTATAAAGCCAGACGTAAAGATGGGTCTGATACTAAAGATTACGCGCTGAAGCAAATTGAAGGGACAGGTCTATCGATGTCAGCGTGCAGAGAGATAGCGGTAAGTTTGACCGTTTAATTTGTGAATGTCTATTCGATGGATAAATTGACAATGGCTTTTAATTATCAATTCACACCGTCGATCCCGGTTGCTATACGAACATCTGTGGTAAAGGGTAGTTGGAGCCATAAAAACTTGGACAACAGTCTATCTACAGAATTTCAATATCGCCTAGTACTTGGGTTGTGAAGGTCTGATGGCTGTTGGTCCACATAAGAAGTTGAAGTTCAGACGTGTCGTAGTAGACTGAAAGCTGATCTCCAACCTAGTTTAAGAAAAGGCTCACGATGATGGATGATGAGCTTTTGCTATGTTTATACATTAATATAAATTATTTATTTTCTGAAGTAACTTTTGTATATTGATGATAACATCAGTTGTAATTTCAGTTACTGCGAGAGTTAAAACATTCAAATGTTATAAACCTCATCCGAGTATTTCTGTCACATACTGACCGTAAAGTCTGGCTATTATTTGACTATGCCGAACATGACTTGTGGCACATTATCAAGTTCCACAGAGCTGCTAAAGCTAGTAAAAAGTCTGTGATGGTGCCGAAAGGAATGGTGAAGAGTCTCCTCTATCAGATTTTGGATGGGATACATTATTTACACTCCAATTGGGTGTTGCATAGAGATCTGGTAAGAAATTCATTATCTTTTTTCTCTTGAACCTTATATTAATACACATGTCATTACACTGCTTACTCCTTTTGCAGTCATACCAAATAACTACTGTCATTTCTTCTGTCATGTCCTATAATATTTAATTATGAGTCCTATGGCATTTTAGTTGGTGTGTTTACATGTATTGCTAAAATTCACTGCATATAATTTCAACTACTTCTATTTACTTTAATCATTTTTTTTTTTATTTGACCCCAAAACTACCCATGAAATCGTTCATTTAAAGTTTGCCTGTAAGAAATGGCATTTTAGGTATAAAGCTGCCATTTTGTGTACCTTATTTGGCACACAAGCCCTGTCGTACTCTATGGACCCTCGAACCACAAACTTCAAATTAATTTGTGTTAGTTTTTCTTTGCCTGATTCTTTATATTTTAGAATATAGTGTTACATTGTTCCTACGTTTAATATAATTTGAGTGTTTATTATGTGTCAGCTGACTTGTAAAAAGAATACATGTCCAAATAGGTGTCCATGGAGGTTTTTCCCTGTTCACATTGTAATGAATCCATATTTTTTACCTAGCTTCTTCTCACCAACTTAGTCCATGTGGTGGTCATTATTTTTCATAGAGAATATTATTGTAGTGAGAGTTTGGAATTGATAATTTTAAGAATAGTTCCCCATACAAACTTGCACACCTTTTAAGGGCAGTTTTGAAAAATCAGTAACAGTGTTTTATTACTTTTAATAAAGAGTATTTACTGCGAGTTTAAAAACGCTACTACTAAAAACAACTGTTTCATATAAAAAATTTCAACCCCCATTTTGCACTCTTGGGGGTGGATTTCTTTTAAATCTTTTCTAATGTCACCTAAGGTATGTTCGTGCAAAATTTCATGCTTCTAGACCCAATGGTTTCAGCTGTGCATGATCAATCAGTCAGTCAATCTGTCTGTCAGTTTTTTATAGATACAGATTAATTGACTGGTCTAATTAAAACAGGTAATTATTGAATTGAATTGAGTGTTTAACATAGTATTCATCAGAGAGAGAGAGAGAGAGTCAGAAAGCATACATCTATGACTTCATGATGCAAGTATATAAAATCATTTTATGTACTTAGATCATTGCTATTTTTGAGACTATTGATTATTTTTATAAAAATTGGCAATTTCTCAAAATCCAACCAGTAGGTAGTATTGTATACCATGATTAGACATATTTATACCTAGTTATTTTCTGTTGATTCTGTGATTATACCTGTTTGATTTCTAAACTAAATCAATATTTACAGAAACCAGCCAACATCCTAGTTATGGGAGAAGGGCCTGAGAGAGGCAGAGTTAAGATTGCAGACATGGGGTTTGCCAGATTGTTTAATGCTCCTCTAAAACCATTGGCTGACCTGGATCCTGTTGTAGTAACTTTCTGGTATAGAGCTCCTGAACTGCTGCTGGGTGCAAGACATTATACCAAAGCTATTGGTAATTTATTACTAGTAACTATTTCTTTTACAATACAGATTGAGTTTATTTTAGCTTAACTGAAAAGAAATCTAAACTAATTGTAATGAGTTTATAAAGTACACAAATAAAATAATAAAAATATCATACATTTATATCTTATGTATAAAATTCTCGTGTCACAATGTTAGTTACCATACTCCTCTGAAACGGTTGGACCGATTTTTATGAAATTTTGGGTGCATATCGGGTAGGTCTGAGAATCGGCCAACATCTATTTTTTATACCCCTAAATGACAAGGGTGACCCACCCCTACATTTTTTTTAAAATATTTCCTAGAAATAATGTATATAGCAAAACAATGTTTGTCGGGTCAGCTAGTAGTACATATATTTTGAATAACTGTATCTGACATGTCTCTTTACGTTTCTAACATCACTTCTCCAAAGAGTTTGTTAAGAGAATTTGACATCAAATGAATCCGTAATTTTCAATTGGTTTTCAGATATATGGGCCATAGGCTGCATATTTGCTGAGCTGTTGACTTCTGAGCCTATATTTCACTGTCGTCAGGAGGATATTAAGACCAGCAATCCATATCACCATGATCAGCTAGATAGAATATTCAATGTCATGGGATTCCCACAAGAGAAAGATTGGGAAGACATTAGAAAAATGCCTGAACATGCCACATTAGTGAAGGACTTCAAGAGATCGAAGTAAGCTTATTCCCTGATTTTATTGCTACTATAGAATGTTGCGGGCATATTAGTTTTGGATTTCCAAATATATGATGTAAAGTAATTACTAAATTACAAATTTTCATAGTGTCAAACATCCTAATTTGTAATAAAATATTGTTTTTCAGTTATCAAAATTGCTCTCTGAGTAAATACATGGACAGGCATAAGATAAAACCTGATAGTAAAGCCTTTAGTTTACTGCAGCGACTTCTTTTAATGGATCCTAATAGAAGAATAACATCAGAACAGGCTATGCAAGACCCATATTTCACTGAAGACCCTTTGCCAACGCAGGTAAGTTAGTCGTTACTAATATGTTATTGATGAGAATGATTTCATACATGGCAATGTAACTAATAAAGTTGACTCCACATGGTTTAACCGGTCACAACACCACTTCCTAAGCCGCTGATTGTGTTGTTGATCCCCATATGGGACAACACTTTGTGTGATCCAAAAATTGTTGTTCTGAGTCTGGGTGTTCTTTGTGTCCGTTTCATGTATGTTTGTAAAGTGTGCACAGAGCGCTACACAGGATATATTCCTAGTGCGGGAGTTGGCTTTTGATTTAAAGTAAATTATGTAACGAACTGTTGGAGACCCATGGTTTGGTAAATATGTATGGGCTGGCTTGACCTAAGACCTCACAGGAATCTGGTGTTAAGAAATTCTTTCGTTGTTTTTTATGGAGGCAGTGAGGTTACTGGAGGCGTAGCCCTCTCTCCTGTCCTAGGGGGACAGGATTTTGGGGGATCAGACTTAAGGCGGCAACGTACTCTTTAGTTGCAGGTATTACTTGGGCCTGTTGGTCTAGTGGTGGACCCTGACTGCTAAGCCGGAGGTCGTGGGTTCGATTCTCACCCAGGACAAATATAGTGTCATGAGCACGTTGATTTGTTCTGTGTCTGGGTGTCTATAATATGTATGTATTTAGAAATATTTAAGTATGTTTATCAGCAGTCTGGTTACCATAGCACAGGCTCTGCCCAGTTTGGAGTGTGAAGGCCGTGTGTGATGTGTGAAGTTATTATTATTACTTAAATTTTTCTGGCTACTTAGATACCAGATTCCCAATTGTCATTTTGAGTTCACTTGCTGATGTAGAAAGTAGCAGTAGAAAATCGTGTAGTATATTATAACGATTCTCTTTGGTATGGTTCTGCTGTTCTGCCATTCATCATAAGACTCGATTATTGTCATTTAGAATTCGTATTCTGAAAAACAGCAAAAAAACAAGTTGTACTCAAATGTACAGGCTACAGGAACATACATAAAATTTATCCTTTAAAAAAAAGTTAAACCGACTTTAAACAAACTGACAAAGAGCACTAAAAATTAAAAAAACTATAATCAGTACCATCAATGTAACAGGTAACATTATAATAGCAATAGTCCCTTCTAGTCTGTTTGAAGTCGGTGCCAAGCCCGATAAGAATTCAATATAATTCAAATGTAACTGAATCTGGTCAGTCTGATTAACAAAATCTGCGATGTTTTATGTGAATTATATTGAACTCTTATTTTTTTATTGTGCTAATGTAAAGCTTGTGCTGTGTTATATTAAGGGTTCTTATTATGGTTTTATTTACTTAGATTTGTTCTTTTTTTTAATTTTTAGTGATTTTTGTCATTATTGTTTGATGTCGGTTCAACTTTTTTTTAAAAGGATTTATTTTACCGTTTTTATTGTAAGATATATTTGTAATGAATAGATAAGTACGTTATTTAAAACACTACGTACCGTAATGTATAATACTAAACTGTAGTATCTTAGATTATATTAAAATATAGTTTAATAAGTCTTACTTTGTTCAAATAAGGTAGTAAGGTGTTTGAGCATTGACATTTGAACCCAAAAATATTTTGTTTTCCATATTACTTAATTTTACAAAACTAGGAGTGGTGAGTCATAATAGGTTTACAAATTAAAGAGTTTTGAGGTACCAAACATGAAAATAATTGAGTAAAAAACATTTTTTTTGTCTAAAAGTTTTGTAATTTTATATATTACTCTTGTGTGCACTCTCTCATCTCTGTAACCCAACATCCTAACCTAACAAATATCTTGAAAGAAAAAAACAAAGTCAGTACATGATTAGATTTTTGAAAGAGTTAATCTCTAACTCCTAAAGGTCAAGGACCCTTCCATCATCAGCTTGGCAACATGACATAACGACTCTAAACGCAAATCCCATCATTAGATCCTGATTTGGTGGTAATGGGACCACCTCAGGAGTTTACCATTTCAATCCAAAAAGATTTTTTTAAATCGGTCCACAATTGACAGAGATGTCCCGTAACAAACATAAAAAAAAGCAAATAAATAATGATAATACAGACGAACTGATAACCTCCTCTTTTGTGTTTTTGAAGTCGGTTAAAAAATATTTAAACATCCGAATTGATAACTTCCTCCTTTTTGTGGTCGGTTAAAAACTAACTAAATCCTTTTTTACTGCCGTAAATGTCAAACACATTAGTGCAAAACAATTCTTGGGATTGGGATAAAGGGGTTACCAGGTGATAAATTCTACGGTTAAATTCGATTTTTGTCCAGTTCGCATCTTAGCAAGGAATTACAGTGCGTTTCATGTAAGATGCGACAGTCCTCATACCTAGTAGCAAAACCCGTGCTTACCTCACGTCTCCTACTCACATGATGCCGCCTTCCTAGTTAATTTCACCTTCATACGTCTAGTAGTAGATGTTCTTCTCTTCTTCATACGTAGGTTTCGCAAGTATACTTAGTATCAATGTATGTATTTACGACAGTATCTATTCTGTTAGAATGGTGTGTTTTAACAGGGCTTATAATCAAATTTACAGGATGTTTTCGCTGGATGTCCCATTCCTTACCCGAAGAGAGAATTCTTGACCGATGACGATCAAGATGATAAAAGTGACTCGAAGGCTCGACAAAATCAACAACAACAACAACAACAACAACAACAGCAGCAGCAAAACAACGTAAGATTTGTATTTAAATATTTGAAAGATTTTATTGAATATCCTAAAAATTAGTATAAAGTACGCATAATTAGAGTAACTAGCGGTTCTAATATATTTTATTTATTGTTTTAATTATTTACTTCTATGATTTTAATATCTTTTTCGAACGTAATAGAGTCAGACCATCAAACTCTATAAATATGCAAAGTTTGACATTTTTAGGTTACACGGTTTAGATATTAGAGGCCTGATGGAAGATATGTACACGGTGGCATGGATTATGGGGTGAGATTTTACATCTGTATAACACTGCAGCGAAAATGAAGTGATAACTAACATTAGCGAATAGCAAATACTGATTGAATATCATGGGATTAAGACGCGTGAGCATACGAAAAAGGAGCAAAATGAAACCATAAACATTACACAGATTGCTATTTACTAATGTTTTGAGACATTTCTTTTCGGTGGACTGCGATACAGGCGTGACTGTTCCATTTCAACTTAGACACAGAATACACAAAAAAAAAACATTATTTCCGTCATATCTGATTACATTACCACACAATTTTGTTTCATATATTTCTTTATTTTAACTTTCGAATTGGTTTATTATGTTCATTTAAATTTATGCGTTTAGTCTGTCACATTAAATTTAAGCGCGTCATCTATTAGTTATAAGGGTCCACAGTAATATTATTTATTTCCATAGAATGTACAACAATACACATATGCTTAATATAGAACATATGTAAACATAAAAATACACTTTAAACACAGAATACACGTTGCAATAACAATACTATCTAGTAGTTTAAATAATTCGTTGTACAGTGGCAAGTTAAGATAGTTCCCAGACTGAGTTATTCTCGTATTCTGGGCACCTGTAGGTTCTCTTTCTGCTCAAATTATAATGTGTTGCCATCTGCCATACACTATATTGTTTGGAAATATACGTGTTTACTACCTAATTATAGTAATTAGTTTCTCTGTTTATTCGTAGGTTAGGATTTGTAAACAATTATTTAATTTTAGTTTAATGCTATGTTTATTTATGACAGATATTGGTATTTTTTTATTTACGTTGTATACTCGTGTGCTCAGGACTTTCTGTTGCCTCCTTACGAAAGCCGTACTACTTTTTACTGGTTAGCAAACAATGTGTTGTCTAAGTAAGGTACGGAGTATAAATAGTTGCCTTACTGACAAAACCCGACATTCCTTATACGGTTTTTCGGTAGGATACATGCGAGGCTTATAATTAATTTACTTTAAGGAGTAACCTTTGAGCTCTTTCTAAAAGTTGTTTTATAGGTGCCTCCTATTGGCATAGGCTTATGTAGACACTCCGAATTATCGACTAATCAAATTTGACGCAAAAATTTGATTGTGACGCAAATTTTTAAATATATAGAGAAGACGTCTCACACTTGCGGTCAGAGTTTCCACTTGTGGCTGCCAGTCTAAACGCTCGTCGATAAGCACACCGAGATACCGTGTGTTGGCAACGTTTGCTATACCTTGGCATGAGCAAGTCGGTTTTGAATTATTGCAATCGTGCGATGCTTGTTGATGAGCGACGAGAGTTTGCGTTTCTAAAGGAGGCTTAGAAGTGTTAGGATGATAAAAACGAATGAATTTAGTTTTTCCAACGTCAAGAGTTAGTAAAGAACCAACTTGTCACTTCTCTTAAAGCATTTTCAGCATATTGTTAGGCTTCTTTCCAATTGTTCCCATATATCAATAATGCTATGTCATCTGCATATGTATATACTTATATACTACTATTTTTTAAAGTCATCAACAACAATATCAATATTACGTCTACCTACCAAATATTTATAACTAAAGTAATTAATTAAATACGTTTTGAATATTTAAATAATTTAGTTATGGATATTTATAATATTATTATTTTGTTGAAACTTTTCACAGACACAACAAAATCAAGTTCAAGCTAACAGTCACGACCATGTTGCAAATAATGCGAAGAGGATGAGAATGACAGGTAAATACTCAATAAGGTTACTTTAGATTTATTAAAGATTAATCTAAGTCTATTGCTGCTGAAAGTTACACATCACAGCGAAGTACTAAACACAGCACGGCGACGTCTTACATACTTTGCAACCAAAGAGACGAGTTTTAATTCCCGCTCAGTGGTCATAATAATTATGTGTCATCATCAAGTTAGAAATACTTTAACAGCTCTCTTGCCACCTTGCTATCACTGGGTGGAGCATTGAGTTCATATGGTCCTTTTTTTTTTTTTTTTTTTTTTTTTTTTTTTTTTTTGTTGACGGGGTGGAAAATCCCTTCGGATCTCCTGCTCCTCGGGGCTAGGAGCTAGGAGTATGTGGTGATTCCACTAAAAACCACCCCGACGGCCGGCCTCAGGTGTCCTACTCTGGGAGGACCCGGACCATGTTATTTCAGGTCCTCCCCGAATTGACACCATGCCTAGTCAGGCCCTGTCCCAGGGGAAAATCACTTCCCCCCTCAATCGCGACGTGGCGGCCCAATTTCGTCTTAATGAAATCAGGCCGCCATCCTATCCCCTACCGCAACATTCAATCAGCGACCAGAGGTCCCCACTCTCTGGCGGCCCGCTTCCCCGTCGGCGGCTGGTATGGTCGCCGACGTCCTCTACGCTCAGGATCGGCCCTCTCCCGATCCCGTTCAGCGGTCTCTTTCTGGAGCATTACAGCTTCACAGAAAGAGACCACTGCGCCCCATCCCTCCTCACCCGCCAGCATGGCAGCAATGATTGCTGGCGGGGACAGGTCTCTTCCGATTTGGCCGACCAGGACTTCGCGTTCAGACGCCCACGCGGGGCAGTCTTCCAGCGTGTGCTGGGCGGAGTCCCAGTCGGCTGCGCAGTGCTGGCATTGTGCCGTCTCCTCGCGTCCGATACGATTCAGGTACTCACCGAAGCAACCATGCCCAGTGAGTACCTGCGTCAGTCGATAGGTGACGCGACCTCCCTCCCTACCTACCCAGGCTTCGAGGTTAGGCAGAACAGCGCTGACAGCGCGTTGGCGTGCATTCTGTGGCTGTTCCAGCCGCACGCGCCACTGCACCAGTGCATGTTGGTGAGCGTTCCGCCGCATTTCGAGCGCGTCCTGGCCTTCCCCGCTCTCACCCCAGCGGATCGCGCGAGTCTGGTCATAGACCCTCGCATCCATATCCGCCAGGATATCAAAGGGCGGGAAACGTGCCAGGACTGTCGCCGCCTCCGACGAAATAGTGCGGTACCCTCGTACGATCCGAATGGCCGCTATCCGCTGCGCTTGATTGAGCTTAGCTCGGCAGCGGGAGGAGGCCGATAGGCGCTTGGCCCATATCGGCGCTCCGTAGAGGGCCATGGATCGTATCACCGCACAATAGAGGCGGCGAACTTCCTCCCGCGGACCCCCTAGGTTAGGCAACAGCCTCTGTAGGGAGCCCGCCACCCCACGAACTCGTAGGATCATCCGCTCGAAATGCTCCCCGAAGCCCCAGCGGCTGTCTAGGGTGAGGCCAAGGTATTTTATGTGTTGGCCAACCTCGACCTCTGTTCCCCCCACTCTAATAAGTGAGCGGGTGGGAACTGCACCTCTGCGTTTCCTGTGGAACCATAAGGCTTCCGTCTTATGAGGTGCAACCCTTAGTCCCAGACCGCTGATGCTTTGGACGACACAAGCCACCCCTATCTCGGCGAGCTCAAGGGCCTCCTGGAAGCCATGCCCCCCAGCCAGTACTAGAGTATCATCTGCGTAGCAGACGACGCTCAATCCTGGGGGAAGGCTGGTCCTCAGAACGGCATCATACGCGAGGTTCCACAGAAGTGGTCCTAAGACCGATCCCTGGGGAACCCCGCATGTGACTTCCCTTCGACATTCTTCGCCGTCCCGACCCATATACGATATGGATCTGTCGCGGAGATAAGCCCCGATAATGTCTCGCAGGTAGGGTGGCAACTGATGATACACCAGTGCATCCCTAATCGCCCACCACGGGAGAGAGTTAAAGGCGTTGACTATGTCAAGACTGACGGCCAACGCCACTCCCCCCCGACAGACAACCTCTTCCGACAAAGAGCGGACGCGTTCAATCGCGTCCAGCGTCGACCGTCTCTGTCGGAAGCCAAATTGGTTGTCTGATAAGTCGGGGCCTACTCGCGACAGGTGCTGGTTGATACGGGAGGCGATAACTCTTTCAAAGAGTTTCGCCACCTCGTCCAGCAAGCATATCGGTCGGAACGCCGAAGGAGAATCTGCAGCTCTGCCAGGTTTCTGGATAAGTACCAGCCTGGCTTCCTTCCAGCCGGCAGGGAATACGCTATTACGGAGGCAGCTGGTAAACAGCCGCCTCAGCCTATTCCCTAAGACCGCCAAAGCGCACCCCCAAGCTCGCCCCGGAATCCCGTCAGGGCCCGGTGCGGTGTTGCGGGCGGTGAGTCGCTTCACGGCTCGGTCTAGCTCTTCCTCTGTCACGTCGAAGTCGTCGGACCTCGCAACTGGATCCGACGGTGACGGGGGGCGTGAGGGACTACTCTGGACCCTTGGGAAGAGGGTATCTACCACTCTTCCCACAAACTCCGGGTCCAGGGTCTGCGTCAGCGGGGGGACCCACGGTCTGAGCTTGCCCAGTACAAGTTTGTAAGGGCGCCCCCATGGGTCCCTGTCCAAACCCTCTATGAGCTCCTTCCAAGACCGAGCCTTGGCTTCCGCGATCGCAAGGCTAATAGCCTTTGCGGCAGCGCCGTACTCCCGTCTCCTTTCAGCGATCTCCTCGGCTGTAGCTCGCCGTCGTCTTCGGGTTCTCTGAAACTGGCGGCGGGCTCTCGAGCACGCTGTGCGAAGTTGCTCGAGTTCCGGTGTCCACCAGTACAGAGAACCTCTCCCACCCTTCGGCCTGACCCGTGGCATCGACGCGTCACAGACGTCAGTCATGATGCCACGGAACCAGACAGCCTGCGCTTCTGGATCTGACAAGACCTGTACTTCCTCTTCCTCTGGCCAATCCGCGACGATGGCTGCGGCGATGAGCATATCTCGGTTCAACCGCTTGAGGGCCCATCGTCGCGGAGGGCAGGAGTTCATATGGTCCTATCGTCGATGGTCCTATTATTCCCGGACCAGCAGTGGCAGATACACTGCGTGCTTTTAGTAGGTACATTTAAACATTTCCAACCATAGATATATAAGCATAGTGTGAACAAGAGTCCCAATCTTGCAATATAGGCAACGACGGAGATGGGTAATGGATAGTTCCCTCTATCTCTTTCTAGTCGAGCTCTGTGGTTGCCTGGGAAAATTTTTAATCTTCCGCTTGTTCTACGATCAAAACCATGCCCACTTCACGATAGACAATCAGGAGTTTGGCTAAACAGAGACAGAGGGAATTATCGGACATCCATATTTCTCGTTGCCTGTTTCGCTTCCACTTACGGGCAGCTGTACCCCATAATCTCTATATGTTTATATCTCTGTTTCCAACCCGTTGGTTCTTTTTGCCTAACAATAATAGAGATGGCTTGTGTTCGTCAATAATAAGTTATTATAAGTACAGGGTTACTCAGTAAGTCGACCTAGATACTTAGGGGTTGTAGTTCCGTCATTTCTGATAGATTTTAGTATGAAATACCATTTCCCAAACCTAAACATTTTCAAGATATTTGCTTTTACTTGACTTGACTTGTTACCGGATTATGTATCCTAATACCGCTGAATCGAGCGGGAGCGACTCCAAGGGCGGCAATGCACTTGTGACTTTGAGTTGCATGTTTCCATGGGCGGCGGTAGTTGCATACCATCAGGTGACCCGTCTGCTCGTTTGCCCCCTTATGGCATAAAAAAAATGATGTTCAGCAATTATTTTGTTGCTTTTAACCTAGTGATTGAGATTACCGGAGGTCCAACCCTTCTAACTAAAAGGGGGGGATGTGTGGGGGGGGGGGAAGTTCACCGAAAGTGTGGCAACGCACTCCCTTTAGTGGCAGGTATCCCTGGGCGGTTGTAGTCACTTACCGACAAGTGACACGTCTGCTCGTTGGCTCCCTGTGCCATAAAAAATCGATCTTATTCGTGTTAAGTATCAGGAGAACATGAGCTTCAAAGAGACTTTATATTTAGGGTCATCCCTATTGCTTGAATAAATATATCCTTAATTAGTTAATGCTTGTTTGATGTCCCTCAATTTGCCTACCACTTTCAAAACCGTCGTCAACTGATTAATGTGTCACTATCAGGTCCCAACCAAGGCAACAACACTGGTGGTGGCGGGCAACAGGAATTCCATCAACAACAACAAATGATGTTCGGCGGCCAACAACAGGGTGCGAGCAATCAACAACAAGGAAACTTTCAACAGAGATTTTGAAGGATCTTATGAATACTCTGTATTTAGAGAACGAAATAAACTGACCCTGGTAGGGTAGTTTTTGTTAAAATTGAGTTGCGATGGTTGATAATTTTAGTCTAATAATTTGAACTTGAATTTATTATAGTACATGTTAAGGTAATAATCATCATATTTTAAAGATTATTTAAATTATAAGATCAGTGAAATACCTATACAAATAGCATTTTACTAATCTTATACTTATATATAAATACCAATTTAGTGCCTGTTTGCAATAAATGAACAGGTAAGCCAAAAGATTTTAGCCTGTATGTTAGCGGGTTGTTTTTATTACGTAATGTAAAGTATGTAACTCGTAAGCCAACATCGCCATCGCTTCGGTATGTTCTAAGTATCTCTATAACATTTTTATCAAATTGCCAAACGCCGCCGTTCCTTAAACTTTTTCTTTAGGTCTAAAACTTGATCCAGCTGTGTCAACATTGAGGTGATGCATACACTGAACTGTATAAGTCGAAATTTGTCTGAGTACTTCGGTCGCTTTTATTCGTACATTGACTATTAAAAGTAAAGTTTTCTTTAAACTAATTTTTAATGAATACTGCAGCCTTTTGAGCATTCATTACATTGTTTATATTGCCTTCGCCCCTACGTTCGGCTACTTTGTTATCTCAAATACAGGAAACTATTTAAGAAACAAATAAACGATTAAGTGTTTTTTTATTCTGTATGTTCTACTTTTTTTTACGTTTTACTTTAAACGAGAAGAACATCCTTCAACATGAAGGATGTTCTTCTGGTTTAAAGTATAGTAATTATGTTAAGATTTAGGACAATAAAAACAATACAATTATTATAGAACGAAAGTCTAATTAAGATTATTTTAAAATTAGACGCCGTCTTCATATGATTATTAATTGTCATTTGAAAAGGATCTCAATTATGTTAACCTAAAACGTATATATTCTAAAAACTCACGGTAGGGTTTTCAATATAAGTTTCTTTAGTTAACGTTTATTTGGAGATGCCTCTCCAACCAACGTCTTCATAGAGCGCTCTCATCGACTAGACTAGTATAGTTAACTCGACCAAACAATTATATCTTATAAATACTCACGCCGCCTTGGAATAGAGCACCGTTCTAGTGCACACATGGCTGGTGTAAAATTGACATTACATTATAAATCATTTTATGTTTCTATCGTTTATTTATTTAAATTAGAACATTTTCACGGTTTAATGCAGATTTTTAAGTGACGGATACAAACGGATTTTACTAATACCTATAAGTTTTATTTAGCTGACACTTTTTGAACTGGGAATATGAAATTAATAATACCTACACTTTCGTGAAGCATTTTACTGTTACATGTCCTAATAATTTGCTTTATGTTTATTTAGCTCCTTGTTTACCCATTGCAAATTATCTAAGTCCAAGACTATGTTGAATCCAATAATTCTTAATGCATTACCAACACTTGTTATACTAGATTTAATTTTCGCTTCACAGAAGGCTACCCAAAAAAGCTGGATTGAATGAAAGCCATTGGTTATAACCTCTCATCTAACATAAATAGTGATCAACACTATTTGTGTTATCCGACCAATCCATAATAAACTTTGTGAGTAAATAAGCTACAATTGATTTTACAATATTAAAATAAATCAAATAAATATTTTAATGTAAGTAATGTTTTGTAAATACTTGTTTTGACAACCTTAATATTATTAAACAAGTAATGAAATCAAAACAAGTATATAGTAATATTAAGTAAATATATTATCTGACACTGAAATTTAGGTTTGATTGTGACATTAAGATGTTACTTGATTGATGCATGTTTTATATAGTTTCTTAGCAATTGCATTTTAATATAATGTCAAGATATGAAGTATTGAAAATGAAATATATGTATGAAATTGTTCGTTTCATTTTAGTTTATGGAATTGCTGCCTATGTGTTAATATTTTTTAATTAGAATAGTAGTTAAATGACGCTAACTATTTGGAAATGTATAAATAAGGCAGTTTCACTTGTAAATATTAGTTATTAAGCGCAACGTGTCACAGTAACATAATTTTGGAAAGTACATAAGATTTTGATACGTTAAAAAATAAATAGATATTGAAAAGGTATTTTCTTTTATTAATAATAAAATTAAGTCATTTATATTTCTAAGGACGGAATACAATGTTTAACTTTCTCTAGTTATTTTTACACCATGACGAGAAGCAGCCCTTTACATGATACGCTTAACTAACTAAATTAACAAGAATAATAATACATTTATTATTCTAGAATATAATTACATGTCGATAATATTTTTAATATGGATTCGTACATTTTAATAAGCATTTTAGATGCCACACTTTCTTCGCAGTTATCATCTGAGTATTTAACATTGCACAGGTTGTTCCTGATTTTAGTATAACATTTGTTTGGAGTCTAAAAGTGAAATTGGATAACAGAAATTATATACAATAAGTGACAATAATAATTCGCCTTTTTCAGGACAGATGAATACAAAAGACTTAATTATTGTGTCAAGAATTTTGCTTTGTCATGACTAAATGACATTCACATAGGCACACTGACATTCACATATCTATCCTTTTACGAAATATGATTGCAATTCGAAGCAATGTTTATTGTTTAGATGAAATCATTTTATCATTTATAAGTATATTTAGGAGTTATGTGATAGCACAGAGAGACACGCAGATAATCATTAAACTTATAATACCTCAGCCTTTTATGTGTAGTCTTTTTTAAATAAACACATGTTAAGTGAAAACCTCCTTTTTAAGGAGAGGCCAACGTCTAGCAGTGGACTATTAAAGGCTGCTAATGACGTGATACTAACTTTGCTCTGCATAAAGATCTTCTGCAGTATTAAATCCTTAACATATATTCATTCTTACATTTCTATACATTAAATTTTAACATAAAAAATGGCTATGGTTATCTTATGGCTATAAAGCGTTTTCAAGACGCTTAATATAAATCTATTCTTCTATTTAAAATTAAAGCGTAGGTATGTGTATATAGCTAAGTAGAAAGTTCATATAAAAATATAAAATTGTGGCTATTTACTTAGAATGAAATTATTACCGACTTATACACGTATGTCACATTTATACATACTCGTATAATTATATTTTGATAACTTAATTTTGTAGTATGTATAAGGTTTAATATATTTATATTTTACACTTAACTAACCCGAGGATAATAAATTACACCGGACTGATAATGTAAGCGCTTGTCCAATTTAAGGACAACTTAGCAAATTATTCAATGTTTAACCAGGTAGAGCTACTTTAGTGTTGGTTTGTCTCAAGAGGCGCCACAAATGTTGCGCGTGTATGTAATTTAGCAATAAATGATAGTAACTTTTCTAATGTAGTAATATAAAAAAAACTTTCTACCTATTGTATAATTAAGGTGGGATAGACATTTAAAAAACTGACTGGAGACAAATGACCCGGGAAACTTTACTGTATATTCTAGAAACAGCAATTTATTGATAGTTATTTCGTAAAATCGATTCGTTACGTAAATATTTTGGTATGACCAGCAAGTAAACCAAGAAGTGTTACACATGAAATGCATGCATTTCCAATAACTGGTATAATAAAGCTGCTATCCTAAAATAAGAATAGTAAAACGATTAAAGTTAATTTTAGCTACAAAGAAATATTGTAACAGACTTAAGTGACTAATCTAGCGTGATTCATCTTTTATTTGTTTGACAGTATACGTTTAAAAGATTTAAATTATTTTGTAATTAAAGTATTTTTTTTTTTGCAAAATAATATAATTAAGTTTTCACAAATAGTTTTTATACTGATTTAGAAATAGCTAATTTTGAACATGCACTAAAACATTAATACTCTTCATTGCACAATAGTATATAATTTAAAAAGACACTACATACATAGGTCTACGAATAAATAGATAATATAATCTATAAATTTATTCTTCTTACAGCTTGTTTTAATATTTGTTTTTTTTACAAACTCTTAAACAGTTGGTTCCCAAGCAAGTGTTAAAAACGAACAACGGAAAATGTGAGCATGTATTTTTCGGTTTGATGCCACTTTTGGCAAATTACTTCTTATATAAAGGAGATACCTCAACAACGGTCTGATCGCCGCCGTCAAGGAAGTATTGTGCCTTGTTCAGTTCTTCGCGTTTCAGCTTAGTATTGGAGTCCAATGTGTGTATTCGCGTTCTTAGTCTCCCGCACCGACCATCCAAAAGTTTTTCGTATGCTGGAATAGAAGAAAGTGAACATCAGTTTACGCTACTCACAACACTTCAACAACTAAGTACTTAATAATGAATTATTTTTAAAAACAAATCCTTCATTATAACATGTGTGTGTGTTATAATGTTCATAGGGATTATAATACAAGGTGTGCCAACATATTTTCTCTTACGCATGTACCTACCTGGTTTGCTGTAAGGATCGTTTTATTTCATAAATAAACAATTAAGCGATAAAAAATTACTTACCGTCTTTCTTATAGGAATTAAAGCAAGCCATGTGGCAGACAGATGGGAAGCCCTTCAACTTCTCTGGGTCTATCCAAGTAGCAGACAGTGGAATGGCACATATTGGGTCTCTCCTCGCTTTACAACCGCTTAGACAAGCTTCATACGTATTTCTCTTAGGTTTCGGTGTTTTACGAGTTCTAGTAGTCGTTGGTCTTTTGGTGGTTGTGGTAGAAGCTACGACTACACGGGGGTTTATATTAACATTAGTGATAGCGCCCCGTGGCCCCACCACACGGATTCTTAAGGGCAGAGGTCCAAAAGTATTTAATTGTGATCTGTTAGAATAGTTGCGATTTTGGTTTTGCAAGTTGTTTGATTCTTGAATTCTTGTCGTTGGTCTTTCAGAAAATGGTATAGGAGTTGGCCCTGAAGATATTTGCGCAGTAGTTCTTACGGGTTGCGACGTAGGTGCTGTACTAGATGGTCCCCGAGATGTCTGGATTGTTTGAGGAATTGAACTTGGTTCACGTAAAGAATTCTGTGGTAGCACCGCAGTGCCAAATAGCCCACCTTGCAGAGAAGGTTGTTGTCCAGGACCGTTAAGAAAAGCATCATTTTGATAAATAACAAAGGAGCCTGTCAACGTCCCCGGCGTTGATAATCCGGGCTGTTTTCGCATGGACTGAAGTTCATCTACATTCTCTACTGGTACTGAGAAGCGGCCTGCGATTGAAGACGCTTGTAAGGGTGTTGTTGTAGTTTGTTGTGCTAAAGTCGATGTCGACAAAGTTGTTTGTTTCGTCTGTACGGGTGTTTGGGTTTGTTCTGTAAACTGAGTAATGTCTCGAGTCGTTTGGGATGGATGTCTTGATGAAAATGCGGTTACTGTTGACAAGGCAGCTGGTACCGAAGTAGATGAAGGCAATGGTGACACATATGCTCTCGTATATTGAAATGAAGTTGGTGGCGGTAAAGTGGATGACAGTGTTGTCGCTGGTTGATGTTGTGAAGTTGATTGAGACCTAACCACTATGGGATTGGTTATAGAGAACGGTGATTCTGTAGAGAATATTTCCGAAATTGATTTCGGTTGGAATCCATCATTGATCAGGTTTGCTAGATACCATGATTCAGATGTGTTGTTTTGTGTTTGAGTTCGGCATACTTGTAACACTGTAACAAAAGACAAAATTAGTTTCCAGCTAATGTTTCCTATATTACAAAACTAAGCGAATATAGTTCACTTTATAGAAATAAGCAGATCAATGAATAATATCATTATCTGTTGATGCTTAATATTCATTGATCTTATTCTTTCCTCTAGTACCTACATCATAATTATAACAATGTAACAAAAAGTATATTTTTCTTATAAAAAATTCACGAGTTGTAAGACTTGATTTATCTTGAAAAATATAAACTAAATTTAAAATTTGCTTACATATCTATTTTTGATTGATTATTACCTACCCAGTATGTTTTACATCATATGGACATGTAGATGCATACGCTAGACACCTGCCCATCACATTTAAAAATGTAATTTGACAGATGATTTGGATGTGCAGATGCGCATATTTTCTGCTGCATATTTTGTGTCTGGAACGAGTTTTCAAGGTCCACTTTTTGTGACGACAGAGGTCAAATACCTCTTGAGCATGAAGCCTGTGTCGATCCATTGAGGAAATGACATAGTCTATATTATGTACTCGTATTACACAATGATTGTGGGCGGTAGGCGAAACGGACTTTCACCATTGTTTAGTGAACCGTAGTTATACCTACAGAACTACAAAATATTGAATCAATATTGCGGCGTTTTAAAGTCATATTAACGATTTTGTCACTTTACCAATATTTTTTACATTTCATTAACTGTTAGGTTTACAAAATACCGAGACCGTTTCGATCCAAAAAGTATTTCCATAACGGGGTTTATAACTATGCAATAAACCAGTATCACGCATTTTGATGAATCTGTTTATTATATTTTTATATTTAATCTATATATTTAATCTTTATATTTAATCTTTATTGCAACGTTTTCTCTACGGACAAATATTTCTTTTGTACTAAGTGTTTTCTGGGTCATATGTTTAAAAACATAGGTACTTATACAGATTATGGTTTTTCCTGTTGTTACTTCGAATGTGAATTTAAACAACTTACCTAAATAGATTTCAAGACAGGTATAGAATCGCTAACGACTTTTAGTTGTAAACAATTCTGATTAGTATCTGACTCATGCTTGAAGACTTCAAATTGATATCAGTTGTCCATTGGAAGAATTCCATTGATTATATATTTTTAACCTAAACATGTGGTATTAAGGTCTATAGTCAGATTAATGTATCTGTAGTCACGTTTATTATACCATTAGGTAACGACGTGACGGACTGGGTGCTAAGAACTTAAACTGCCATAAATAAGTAAATATTATTACATACGCCTGTGCTGGGATTGTCAGTAGGGAAGCCTGCTGTTACTTAGTTAGGTATAGATTATTTTTGTCAATCATTAAATTAATCATTTATAACTTCGGGCTATTTACCTAACTATTGTTAGCAACGCATGCTTCAATGATTGTTACAACTTTGGATTCTACATTCTACTACCTACTGGACCATTAGGTATTTAAAGCCGATGAGACTTGCATTGCCAATATACTTATAGGTATGTAGTTGCGCGAACGTAATAGGCGTTGGCTAACGTACGTACCTACTACTTAATTTATGTGCATTGTTATTTATTGTTTCATTATTGCTTGTTAAGCAGTTTTGATAAAAAGCAATACTAGATATCGAAATATTAAGGTATTGAGTTCCGTTCTTCTAATACGAGTTTTCAAACAACCGAATAAAAAAAGTGTTCGTGAGCTAAAATTTTTTAAACAATACAGTTTTTAAGAAAATAGGTAAAAGTTGACCATTGCCTCCTCTATCCTTATCTATCCAAGTAAAACTTCTCAGCCTTAAGTTAAGAAGTACAGGAAATAGTCCCTTACTTGAATTCTTAATAATAATAATAAAGATGTCTTTATTATTATTATTAAGAATTCAAGTAAGGGACTATTGCCTGTTATGGGTTTTCGGTACTGTTAGGTATGTACCTAACAGTACCGAAAACCCATAACGACCAATCAGAAGTAGCTGAAATTTACTAAGTATCAAGATCTGGCAATATAATTGAAACGGCAGTGGCGAGCAATAAACATTTATATTGTTCTAATAGTCATATCTTCAACCGGATTCATATCTAAAAGCCTACATCGTAGCTTTAACATTTTAGAAATGCCACAGCATTTACTACATCCACTCCAGAAAGCAGTTCCATTAAACACCTGCAGACTAACTTGGAAATTCCTAACCACATCTTTAGTTTCCTCCACATACACTATAAATTAAATAAAAATGAAATATTACAGAAAATAATATCTGATGCTCAAAACGCGTATGCTGAAAACATACTCATATACTACAATGTTGTTTATTGTTTTTGTCCTATCCTGAAACCAAACTTTAACAGATATATATGTATGTATTCACAATGCAGAACCCTCTTCACGTAAATTCAACTCTATTTGCTGGGCCACTCCTTTTATCGACACTGTTAGTTTCAAAACGACAAAATCACTAAGTACCTATCTATCCCTAATTCATTTCTCTCATTTTCTAAATCAAACAAAAAAATAACTATTAAAATTGGTTTATAATAAATCGATGTTCTATTTATATATAATAAATGCAAGAGTGTCTATCTGAAACTGAAAGCATATAAAAATAACTTCAAAATGCTACCATAATAGTGCCTTTTTTTTCCGTGCGGAAATTCCCTCGGATACCACCTGTCGGTGGCATGTCGGACTCGAACCGACTAAAACCGTCTCGGGTACTAATAGCCGGGGAACCAGGTATACCCTAGAAAGGAAGTCCCTGGTGTAACCATAATAGTGTCTGTAAAAATTAATATCAGTTCAGTGTTAATTTTTACAATAAGAGTGATTTCTGTTAGGAATGATTAATTTCAAAGGTAAACTAAGGTCACAACGCGTCGTAAGTCGTAACCAATTTTTTTTCGTTAAAAGAGCATTTTCGATCTTTGAACCTACATCTATATAAAAATTAACAACAAGGATCTTTAAGTGTGTAGACAAAAAGGAAAATCGCCATGTTGTAAAACCTAATTTCAATGTTACTGGCCATACTGTTTTTTGTACTGGATAATGTAATTTTGATTTATGTAATACCCCATATTACGGAACGCTAAACCGGAACGATAAAATGAGAACATACAGGGATTTTTACAGCTACCAGAATAGAAAAAATAAATAAAACTTAAGCTAGTACGTGAGTTGTAAAAAAAAACTATCGCTAAATCCGTTGCAGTAAGTAGCGGTATATAGAAACCAATATGTTCTGTAGGATAATGCATTTGAGTAACTTTTGTAATAGTACCCAGTAGTATTTCGTTTCGCGGGAGGGCTTGGACGTTGCAGCAATAATCAAGTAACAGGTATCCGAGTTTACCTATTCGAGCTGTTTCACTAATATTCTTCAATTGCTTTCTGCCATTGTCTTCCTTTCGCACCTCCGCTCATTTCAATATAATTCTGATATTGTAGCCTCTAATCCCTTAGAATTTTATTTATCTTCATTTCATCTGGTCCTAATAATTGTTTGTCTGACGAGACTATCTTCTCGAAAAAAAAAGAAAAAAAAAGAAAAACAAAGATGTTCAAAACATTTCGAATCATCGGATTAAAACTATTATTTTCTAACACGGATAAAGTTATATAGCTATAATACTTCATAACTTGGTCACAGGTTTTGCCATAATTTGGCATATTAATAAGTATATTTACATAAATGCTCTATTATGTCCGCTGTTAATCAGAGTAAAAAAATATACTTAGGTATAACTTAGTTACCGTCTTTGCTAAAATCTCTCATATATTACAAGTATGTATACACAAATGATCTACTGCTAATCAGAGCGAAAAAAGTGTACCATATTTTAATTCACCTTTGAGAAACGGAACTTTTCTATTGGCAAAGAAAGCAAAAGTACACAAAGAGTCCGCCGTTAATAGGGTTAAAGTTAGTGTGCAGATCTGTAGTTGTGATTTTCTACTCAGTACTGGTGAACAAAAATTCTTGTTATAGGATATAAAACTCTCCTCAGTGCCAATAACAGTGTTTCGTTTTCCGACATTTTAATCGAATTAAAAATATGGATCATATATATGTAGATCATCATCATTATCAACAGCCTTTACTAGTCCACTGCTGGCCATAGGAGGCCATTCTTAGAAAGGAGGTTTTGGCCTACTAAGTATACTGGCCCTGGCCTGACGGCTTGGCGTAGGTTTTCTTTCAAGTTTTTCTTCTCTCTGTAGTGCTGTTGTCCTTCCTAGTTTGCAACCATAGCCGGCTCTTATGACACCCACGGGATGAATAGGGGTGGTGACACTTCGTATTCGTAATTACGTTTCCACACGGACTGCACGTAGATGCATTAAGCAGGATAACTACAATTAAAATATGTGGAGCCTTTATTATAATAACCAGAAAATCAATATATATGTTTAAATGTTACTAAACACATACATATAATAGATACATTAAATCCAGGTATGGAAGAAGAGACGTGATAATTAAACAATAATTCATTTTGGGTAGAAATCGAACCCAATATCTCTGACTAAGCAGACAGGATCACTTATCACCGTTGCATTTAGCTCTTTCCACTTGAATCCCCTGGCTCAATCGCCCAATCTTGTTCCGGTTTATCCCCAGAGTAGGGCGCCTGAGGCAGGCTGTCGGGGTGTTTTAGAAACCGGTATTTTCCACCCCGTCACCAAAAAAAAGGATATTTAATATATGTTTAAAAAGTAACCTATTGGGTCCAATTGTCGATGTTCTTTTTGTTAAGGTAGAAAAGAGCAAATCAGTAGACGAGTCACCTGATGGTAAGTAACTACCACCGCTCGTGGACGCCAGCAACTCAAGAGACACTTGTGCGTTGTCGCCTTTTGAGCCTCCCCTCCCCCCGGAATTAGGGCGGTTGGACTGCCGATGACCTCACTTACTCAGTGAAAAGCAGCGAAAGAATTGCTTAACACCGTTTTTCTGTGAGGCCGTGGTGGAGGTGGAGCCTGCCCATGTGAGCCGATA